CACTTTACAAAAAGAAACAAATAACATTCAACAGAAAACAGAAAAAAAAGGCTTTTATAGAAATAAAAGATATCACAAAGGGACTGAAGAAACTTGAACAACATCAAATCCAATCAAAGCGACCTGATCAAGTGTTTGCAAACTGGAAGGAAAAGTATTCGTCAATAGAGGGACCAGGTTTAAGTGATGTTAAGGTGTGAGGGCCTATGAGCAAGGAGGCATCAGTGAGTTAGGCTTTATGCAAATATCTGTACCATCTGGCAATTGTGTATTTTTTGAGCTAGAGATCACATATTAGAAATCAGGTTTAACAACCAAAATCAACTTTGCTCTGACAGATTTCTGGTCTCCAAAGCTGAGGTGAGCCCTTGCTCCTAGGGGTCTCACAAAGCTAACCTGCAAAGCCCCACTGGGATGCAACTGTTCCTCTGACTTAACATTTCTGTCTTCCTGACCACTAAATTCAGGAATGAATACAACTTCACTATCTTTCATGACTTACTTAAAAGATTTTCAAAACTTACCCAATTGACCGTACTTTGAAATTTCTTTGATCAATATTAAGTACTTTTACTTCCTGAAGAGGAAAAAAAATTTTCTAATTTTAAAAAATGTTCATAATAGACCATCTACTAAAACATCTAGCTATCAGCTTTTCTAGAAAATAATAACATATAACTTTTCTGAAGTAAAGAAAAAAACTAAAATGTTAACTAAAATAGAACAGCAAACTAAATACTTTTCCAGGAAACAGGGTTTTTTCCCTATATAGTTAAGGGAAGTATTCTCAGACAAGTACAATCTAAAATCATGAGTCAAGAAATTTATATAATCTTGTAGGGACTAGAACTCTGTAGGACAAATGACCCAGCCGGAAGAATATATGTAGTGGAAGTGGAACAGAAGGGCATGGAGGAATTATGGAAGCAAGGAGGGCCGTTTGTGTGTGATAGCAATGATGTTGGAGAGATGTTCCCTTCTACAGGTTGGTGGCAAAAAGCAATTTCCATGTGGCTTTCCCTTTTTCAATTAAGGAAAACTAAAAGCAGCTATTTTTAAACTTAAGCCAACAAGGCCGAGTTGCTAAATTTCAAATGAGACAAAAGGAACACATGGATGGACATAAATACAGCTCAAACCTGCGTGACATAAAAAGTGTGTATGCAAACAGTAAGTACATTCTTACCATGTAATCCTGATTTGTGGTTGGTAAGTATATGATTAGATCCAAACACAAATGCATCTACGTGGGCAAACTCACCAAGTGCCTATGGTCATTACACTATCATCTCACATATCTTTAAAGCTTGGTTTTGCATCACACGTTCTATTTTAAAATATGAACTAAGAACCCATTAGCTCAGTGAAAAAGAAAATCCCTCACTTACCCGGGGTATGAAGAATTCATCAGCACTGAACTTATAAAGCCACTCATCCAAAAAGTGAAACAGAAGAGACTGTAAGTCATCTCCTACACAGCATCAAAAAGNTCTCTGGGCAGCAGTTTTTTCATTCATCAATTGGGTTGAATCAAGAACACAAAGCATTTCTCATTGGCTCAGGGCTCCTTCTCAAGACTTCCTCCTTGCAGTCTAAGCCGGGCCCTCGAAACACAGATTCTTCTCCTCAGCTGCCAACACTCACTTTACCTTATGGAGGTCCCTCTCCACGCTTCTGATACATGACACTCCCCCTACCCTGCCCCAGTTTAGAACCACGGGATTAGATATTCTCTTGGTTCCTTCCAAATCTAGAAAAAATCTACAAAAATCTGTGCACCACAGAATGTGCCAGGGAATAGGTGAACTGGTGTTTGCTAAGTCTATAGCACAACAGAAATTTGACGATTTCACAGTGGGATCTGTACAGCACCCACCTTCCTTTCCCCTCTGCCATAATCACCAGTGAAACCACAACCTAAATCAAACTAAACTCTCTGCCTATGTATGGCAGCACACATCATGTTAACTGGGATCACCTCAAATGTATGTCCACAAATCTCAAAAGGGTACTCAGCACGAGCAGTAATTCTACATCGGGCGCTAAGTTCACTTTCTCACTGTCTGAGACAGTATTTCACAGCTTCACCTCTAGTACCCATCCCTCATGCTCATTCTCAATCAGCTCTGCTTCCTGGAGAAAATGAGCGATCAGTAAGAACTGACGCACCTTCCCGCATCAAAGCTACCATCAGTCCTCACATCAGCCTTTCTTCCTGTTAGAATGCATGGTCCACCCCTGTTCCTATCAGGAGTCTGATTTCTCCACTGGAATACTCTATCCCATACACCCCAACTTACCAACTTAAGGTCTTTGCTCTGAAATTATTCTCTCCCGCTCCAGCGTGATCGGTTTTTCCCAATTTCCTGGGTCACTCCCACTCAGCATTCAATGGTACTACAAAACTTCCTAGCTGATACGTGAAATCAGTATTTTAACCTATGTCCGAGCAGGTCAGAGAAATCTGAGAAAAACCTACTACTTTATACCAACTTATTAAAACTCACTGAAGTGTACTGTCATATATGCTGACCTTATGGTAAGGAAGTATAACATGTTTTTAATGGCAGGGTTTAAAAACATACCTGAGGGTGCTTGGACAATGAGAACTCTTCTCCCCACCTTGAGAAGGAAAATTAAAACATGATTAAGATTTCCAAGATTTAATATTTGTTTTCTCTACACTTTTAAAATAAGCCTCATAAACATGGTTAAGAAACTAGAAGGCCGAAAGAGAAGGGAGTGTTGAGGAAGCTGTAAATTTAGTCTGATGGCCAGCAGTTACAGCTGTTGAAGGACTTATGTACAAGAGCCATTTCAACAGTTGACAATTGCTCTAAAAAAACTGCCCTAGTATAGTGTGCATGTGGTAGATTCTCAATAAATAAATCTATGTGGTAGATTTCATAATACAGTAGCACATTCAAATTTTTCTCTGTATTCATGGCTACAGAATTAATTAAATAATATATCCCAATGGAGAAAGCAGGTCTGAGTACCATAAAGGCAGAATATTAGATTCTGTAAGATAGTTTGAAATTGGTGTGCCTTTAATAACTTTTCAAAAAATGCCCACGATCTATATAGAGAAAGTCCTAGATGGGGAGTCTCCTAGAACTTGGGATCAGTATCCTCTCTGCCTTCAACGCTAATGTGGCTAAGATCACAATAGTAGAAGCAATAGTAGGAGTAGAAAGAGCAAAATTTTTAAATTCTGTTTAACCATTTCTTAGCTAAATATGCTTGGACAAGCCTGCTTCTTTACCCATTTGAAAAAAAAAAAAAAGGAGGGAGATAATAAAAGACCCCACTTTACAAAAAGAAACAAATAACATTCAACAGAAAACAGAAAAAAAAGGCTTTTATAGAAATAAAAGATATCACAAAGGGACTGAAGAAACTTGAACAACATCAAATCCAATCAAAGCGACCTGATCAAGTGTTTGCAAACTGGAAGGAAAAGTATTCGTCAATAGAGGGACCAGGTTTAAGTGATGTTAAGGTGTGAGGGCCTATGAGCAAGGAGGCATCAGTGAGTTAGGCTTTATGCAAATATCTGTACCATCTGGCAATTGTGTATTTTTTGAGCTAGAGATCACATATTAGAAATCAGGTTTAACAACCAAAATCAACTTTGCTCTGACAGATTTCTGGTCTCCAAAGCTGAGGTGAGCCCTTGCTCCTAGGGGTCTCACAAAGCTAACCTGCAAAGCCCCACTGGGATGCAACTGTTCCTCTGACTTAACATTTCTGTCTTCCTGACCACTAAATTCAGGAATGAATACAACTTCACTATCTTTCATGACTTACTTAAAAGATTTTCAAAACTTACCCAATTGACCGTACTTTGAAATTTCTTTGATCAATATTAAGTACTTTTACTTCCTGAAGAGGAAAAAAAATTTTCTAATTTTAAAAAATGTTCATAATAGACCATCTACTAAAACATCTAGCTATCAGCTTTTCTAGAAAATAA